CGGGGGGAGGCGATGAGAAGTAGGGTGCTGGCGGCACCATCGCCGGCTTGCTGCTACGTGGCAACGGGGCTTAGTGGGCCCGTTTCGGGCCTGGCCGGGCCAGGGGTGGCCTGGCATGCCCTGCTGCCACGTCCGGACGGCTACCGCGACGGTGCCGGAGGTTCTGGCCTCCCGCACGATGGCGGTGGAGGTGGGTCCCTCCCGTTCGGCTTCGGTGCTGCTTCTCCCTCCGCGGGGCGCTTCTCTCCGGTCCTCTTGGCCTCGTGTTGGTGTTCACATTGAGGCGGCGTGGGTGGTGGCGCAACCGCGTTGGCGCATGGTGGTGGGCGGCGGTCTAGTTGGTCGGCTTCGGTCCGTTAGGCGATGGTGTTGGAGTGCGGGAGAAATCCTTGCCGGTTCTTCGGTTCCGATGCGGTGACACCTGCGGGTGCCACCATTCCTTCCTAAAGGGTGTTGGTGATATCCATCCCCACCTCCCTCCGCGTGTTGGGGCAAACCCTAGGACAAGTCCGGGCAGCAGCGTCGTCGGTGTCGCATTTCTTCTTGGAGGTGCTGCTTGGTACGCGGTGGTTCGGAGCCTCGGGTTGTGGTGGTTTGTTTCTGGAGGGTGTAGCCGTGGCGGGTCATCCGCGCTTTGTCGAGTTGCCGTTGTTGGCATTTGTTTCTTCTTCTTTTCTTTGGGCTTGATGTGCGGTTCGCCCCAGTGTTTCTTGTATCGGTGTTGGTTGCTTTGGAATACAAAGCGGGGAACCCTTTTTCGGTAAAATACGGTCGTCTCGTGTACCGAAATACTCCTTTTTTATTGAGACAACGGCAAAAGTTAGTCATTTTGATTAACTAAGATAGAAGATGTTGGATTATAGATGGTCTTTGGCCCATATAAGACAATAATCTTAGCTTAATCTCTAAGCCCCATTTAAGTGCATGTCAAGTAGTGGAAAGTTTGGGAGCATCAAGAAGATACGACTCACATCAAAACATAAGCTTTTCCACTCGCGTAGCTTCCAGGCGATGCCGGGGAACCCTACCGCCACCACCGCTCAATCCCCCTCCCTGCTCCCGTTTGCCGCCGCTGCCTTCGGCCTCGGCGGGCCCCGCAGCCGAAGGTGGCGGGGGTGCTCTCTCCCCATCCCACGGCGGCGCTGGAGGCCAATCCCGTTGACTGGGACGACGGCGCTGGCGGACTAGCGCGAGGAGGCCGGGGTGGCGGCCCCATAACGAGCTGGTCGACGCGCGACAGCTTGGCTGGTCCGCGCTCGACGGTGGTGATGGCTTCGACCACAGGGGTGGCGCGACCTCGCCGGATTTGGGGATTTGGGATTTGGCGCCTGGATCCGTCCGCGGGACGGTGGTGTTGCGCGGCGGCAGCGGCAGGCAGCCGGTGGCTGGCCTCCATGGTGGCGCGCATGTGTCATAGTAGGGCGCGGCGGGCGCGGTTTTTGCTGGGTGTGCACCCAACATTGGCTGCGGGCTCGGGGCGGCTCAGGCGAGGAGCGGTCTCGGCGGTGGTTCAAGCGGAGGCATCGGCTCGAGAGGGACTTCCCTCCCATCTGGTTTTGCTCGACCTGCCATGTGAAGGAAATATGCCCTAGAGGCAATAATAAAGTTATTATTTACTTCCTTATATCATGATAAATGTTTATTATTCATGCTAGAGTTGTATTAACCGGAAACATGATACATGTATGAATACATAGATAAGCTTAATGTCATTAGTATGCCTCTACTTGACTAGCTCATTAATCAAAGATGGTTATGTTTCCTAACCATAGACATGAGTTGCCATTTGATTAACGGGATCACATCATTAGGAGAATGATGTGATTGACATGACCCATTTCGTTAGCTTAGCACTTGATCGTTTAGTATGTTGTTATTGCTTTCTTCATGACTTATACATGTTCCTACAACTATGAGATTATGCAACTCCCGTTTACCGGAGGAACACTTTGTGTGCTACCAAACATCACAATGTAACTGGGTGATTATAAAGGAGCTCTACAGGTGTCTCCAAAGGTACATGTTGAGTTGGCGTATTTCGAGATTAGGTTTTGTCACTCCGATTGTCGGGGAGGTATCTCTGGGCCCTCTCGATAATGCACATCACTATAAGCCTTGCAAGCAATGTAGCTAATGAGTTAGTGTTGGGGAACGTAGTAATTTCAAAAAATTTCCTACGCACACGCAAGATCATGGTGATGGCATAGCAACGAGACGGGAGAGTGTTCGTCCACGTACCCTCGTAGACCGTAAGCGGAAGCGTTAGCACAACGCGGTTGATGTAGTCGTACGTCTTCACGATCCGACCGATCCAAGCACCGAACGTACGGCACCTCCGAGTTCAGCACACGTTCAGCTCGATGACGATCTCCGGGCCCCAATCCAGCAAAGCTCCGAAGATGAGTTCCGTCAGCACGACGGCGTGGTGACGATGATGATGTTCTACCGGCGCAGGGCTTCGCCTAAACTCCGCGACGATATGACCGAGGTGGAATATGGTGGAGGGGGGCACCGCACACGGCTAAGGAACGATCCGTAGATCAACTTGTGTGTCTATGGGATGACCCCCGCCCCCGTATATAAAGGA